ATGATTATCTATAAAAAGGACTAATTCAGAGTAATTATTTTATTGACATAGTCATTCCATTACCCGCAAAGAAACACTTTATCTTAATCGAGTCTAAACTGTTGCACGTAAAACAGTTGCAATAAAATAGTAACTTGTGGAAAGCAGTTGCGAAAAATAAATAACCTGTAGGTAATTAAGGACAAATTGAGTAACACAATCTTAAATAGCTACGTAATGTTTTGACAACTTAAAAATAACATGTACATTCAAATTATATCAATGGCGTGGGAAGAATTAAAATACAAGTTTTAAAGTAAGGTTCTGTTTATAAACATTTTTTATAGATTTAGTATTAAACATTTTAAGATATCATATTAATTTGGTTTAATTGAAAACAGATAATAATAATAAAACAAAACATCAAGTATAACAAAACATAGAAATCACACAAACAATCACCACAAACTTATTAAAGGATTTCATTTTTTAGCTTTTCTGGCCCATGTGTTTGAGTTTGTCTCACAGACACTTTATTGTAAGCGTTAAATATGCCAGCTGACGTGTAATGAAATAAGTTAATTTTACGACTACTTAAATTCATTTCGCTTCTGTTCAATCTCATCTATTTCTTACGACCTTGTAATATCAGGAAACAACATACTTGACAAGCAAGCCAAGACAAAACAGCATTCTAGACATAAGCCAAGCAGATGGTATCATTGAAATATTATCTCAATGAAATATTATCAACATCACGTTCTTGATCAAATAACAAGTCTGTGCTTTATTTTCTTAACTATTTGCATGAAAAGCATTTGCACCAAAGAACATAGGCATTTTTTCAAACCTGTTATATATTCCAACTTAAAATCTATAAGTTGTCATTTCTCAAAAATGTAGAAAACATACAAAAACAGTTAAAATAAATAATAGTGAGAATAAAATGTTACTGTAACATTCAATATCATATGGTTTTCAATGAATGGAATGCACTGTTGCATAAATTCAAATAAGCATCAGGTAATAATATGTGGTGTATAAAATAGCAAGAGATTATTTGTTTCTTTCTTAGATGTATCGAGGGCTTTCCGTTTTGTTTAGTATTTTATCGACGGTATTTTCTATTTTTTTCATCTAAATTCTTTTGATTTGACAATTATAGATAGACCTCAAACGCTGTTTTGAAGAAGTCTTAACCGTGACATTATAAAATCACTGAATTGATTAGTTTGAAACAACACAGCCTCTAGACAAGCTGAAGGCCGTTTTAAGTTTTTAAACTGTCGTCCCGAGCACGTGTTTGTAAATATAATCCGAAAAACAGTTACAGAGATGGCTATAAATCCGTCGATATCTATTATTTGCTTACAATATATAACAGACAGAAAGCTCCTAGTATTTACTTACATATCATTTTCCTCCTTCACATACTCTCTAGGCTTTGGTCCCAAGGGGAACTTTTCTACGTTCAAAGTAATTATAAACTTATAACGTTTCGACTAGAATATGTAGAATATGTAGTCAGATATAAAACAAGAAAGCTTTCATTTGACAAAAAGAGTTTAGCGTGTTTAATGGTGTGAAAATTGGTCTAAACTCATGTTTTGTTGTTGTTACTTTTCTCTGTTTTGATTTACTATCAAATGTCAATGGTTCTTTTAATAATATCTTATTATGATACACTTTATGACACTTTTTGGTACAAATCGTACATTAAACATATGCTCAGCAAAGCAAATGTTGACTGGACAACTCTACCACCTTCGAAAGCACATGACACTTCCAAAATAATTATTGTTAGAAATACGGGTAACTGGGGAAATACCAGCCAACAAAAACCTGTCTCTTTAGTAGTCCGATTCCGGTCTTGACATTCATACACTCAGATATCTCCCTTTGGCAATTTACAAATCTAGCTTGAACTATCTCTGTGACTGTTTATCGTTCATTTATTTCAACTCAAAATTCTTTATTATTCTTTTATATTTTGTCTATTTTACTCATTTTTCTATGTAGATATTTTTTAAACTATATTTTGTGTTATCCAAACGTAATCTTGGGTTTTAAGTTGTCCTGTAAGATATATTGCGAGCCGTTCATCAATGCAACTTTGTACATTTTATTTATATTACGTTTTTACTCCTGTAGTTATGCAAACTGAGCTGATAAAAATCGAAACGAAAAATTATCTAGCAACAAAATGCCGACAAAGTTTGCATTTGCGTTTGAAATATTAATACATTCTCGAACAAGCTTATGTGATTTTCTGTTAACAATGAAAGTGCAATCATATATAAGTACCTTAGTGTTTCAGAAACCTATATTTACAACTTAACATATGATAATTGCTGTGTAAGAGCATTCCATTCTGATGATATGGCATGCAGCTGTCATATTTTTTACCATTTTCTCTCGTGTCTTAGGCCATCTTGTTTTATTTGTTATCATGCAAATGAAAGAAGCCTATAGTAGATATATATTTGAAAGTCGTATCTTTAATCAAATCTTAAAATGATTTAATAAAAGTAAAACGTAACTTAATTTATATTTCATAAGTTACTTTGAATATTTGATGAAATTAGTGAATCATCTAAAAAAGGGGGAAACCCGTGAATAATCGGATAGCTTCCTCACGTTTTGGTGGGATACACATATTGACACGTGGTTTGGAATTTTGGCTAATGACCCCCCCTTCACCCCAAACCCTGCACATAATCATCAAAATCAATATATAATCAGTGAAAATATTAAAAGGAAAATACTGAATTCATATTCCCGTTATATAATGACTTATTTAAGTAGAAAGTTTCCCTTGAATGTTCACTGATAATCAATATTACTAGCTACTATGCCATAAAATATAATGGTCCATATGGGGGTGATTAGCAGTGAGGAAGCTTGCGGAATGTCTCAAATTTAGTTAAAGAAGTCTTGTTTTATAGCACATAGAGCAAATCAACAAGCAATGACATGTTTAAAAGTAGTCTTAACTTCCTCAATATTAGAAAACTATACATATATTACATTAAAGATTTTTTTATTAAAATCTGCCCATAAAGTTATATTTAAAAGAGAAGAAAACATGCATTTACGAGCACGCGCATTTATTGTAAATTTTGGAATATGCATGACACAGGGTGCCATATAAAAGCTTAATGCAGTGACGCACCGGGACAAAAAAAATTCATCGCCCTGAAGGCTCGGGACGTAAATAAATCATTATGTTTCTGCAGATTTTAATGCACGAAACAATATGTATTGATCCTCTTACTGTGTCCACTAAATAAAATATGCGAAATACTCGCCCTTTCTAAAATATCTCTGTGAATAATATTGCTCTTATGCCGATGCATTGGCGTATTCCCATTAATAAATGAAATGATAACTGCTATAAAATGATATCATACAAATGTATCGCGCATTTCAATGAGTCGGTTTTGATCCGAGGAGATTTTTCATGTCAATTTGTTCTCATAGATAGTTCAGTAATGTACAAGGTGCTCCAGGAATAATTTAATTATGTAATTCGTGTGGATGGACACCAAAGGGTTTAGGATTCAAAAAGAAACGCAGAGGTGTATTAATGATTTTCAGCGAAAAGTAACTTATTTAAAGGAAAGACCATTTAATGCAGAACGAAGGCTTTGGTATCTTCGGATTAAGGTCAATACAACACTGATCATTGATGTCTTGATTTCAAAATTTGACATCCGCTCTTTATCCGATGTAAGAACTTCGGTATTATTTGGCAGACATTTTAATAAGTCGATTAGTATAATGCAGTTTTGAGCTTTTTAAGATCAAGGTCAAGGTCATGTCAGTAGTTACTTGTCACTTTATATTTAGATGTCATAACACGTGCACACCAACGAAAATTTACAAAACCAAATATAAACTATGAAATATATATTATTTTAGCAAAATAACGCTTAAACTTAGCTTAGTTGATGAAAAATAAAACAATAATTCAGGAATAAAAATTTGTATATAACGCCATTAGATTATCATTGTATGCATTCTTCGCATAGTGGAAGAATGTATGCTTTTACTTATGCAAACACGCCTGACAGGAAAATAAACAACACAGAAAGAGAAAATGTCAAAATACTGTATGGCACACATTTTTTAATAAATCCCACGGTAATTAAACTGCTAGAAATATAACATGCCAAGGTCAGTTATTCATTAAAGCTAATTAGAAATGATTTTCCACAATGATTCACTTTTGATAACAAGCATAATATGACATTTAGAACGACCTCATTTTTAATAAACATTAATTAAAAATACAGCATTTTAGATTGTAATTACCATATTGCATGGATTTTGAACTTTGACACTTTAAATTATGACATCCAAAATAATTACACTACAATGTAATCATATATATTTGCATAAATAAGAATATAAAAATTTTACCTCGCTTACATTTTTCTAAATTTAGGCTGCGAACATTTTTATTCTTGAGTACGAACTATTTTGAGAGCGAATATTTTCTAGTATAATAAAATCGCGCAATAATTGTTAGATATGATATTGACACGTGACTCGATCAATAAATTAAATATATGATGACATTTACACTGTATTTAATAGTAGTTTTATTACATTATTTATTATATTACAGTTTTTTTTTCTTCTGGCTCGTTTTTGTATTTTGGTTTTTATAAAAATCAAACGTGAAAACGCCTTTATTTATAAAAAATTATATAGATTTTTTCATCAAAAAATGACATTTATGATTTAACATTATTTTTGTTATAATTTTGGACTTTGAATGAATAATTAGAACAATAAATCATTAACGATTTTTTTTTCTATAATTTTAAATAATTCATTTGCGAGTATAACGTGTTAAAAACTACATTTTTTAAAAAACCGATACAAATCTAAATTGTTTGAAGGATTTCACACTTTGAATGAGATTTTGTCCAAATTTTCTATACTTAAGGCATGAATAGGCTCAAATTCAGTACTGCGTAAATGTGTTTAACCGTCCTAAATTTTATGTATTGTGAAATTTTCTACAACATATGACAGTAAGAAATAAATGTCATCACACTTGACGAATTTTTGAACTATTTATTTTTATGATGATCCACACGTCTTAATAATACTATAATATTTTTATAACCTCAAATGATGGCATGGTGAACTTCACAGTGGACATAACAGAAACAGTTATGCAAAGAAGTGTATAGGGATAAAGTAAAATGTGGATCGACAAATTAGCTTAAATTGTGTAATTAACTTTTTTCGAGAAGTGAATTTCGGCAACAATTATTTAATGTTAAGTTATCAATTTTCAGTTAAGTTTTATTTATAAAGATACAAATTAAAGGGATCTTAAACAAGGACGTGTGCATACTGGACTATGTTTATATTTATATCCTAACTTTTTCTATTATTTTCGAGAGTAAAACAGACATTAATGCACACATGCCTGAACATACAGTAGGTTGAATGCACCATTAATTTTGTTTGTGTTGCTACAAATAACGGTTATACATGTTGTATTAATAGAAAACATGTACAAGTAGAAATTCTCAGAGTTTTATAGCGTATAAAGAACATTCGTTGAATAATAAAAAAAATCTGTCTAGAATTCCTCACAATATGCACGGATTTGAACTTTACTCATACAGTTTTCATTTTCCGTTTTAAAAGTACAAAGCTACAAAGCATACTTATTTTTGAAAGGAATTTAAAACAATGACGGATTTACGTGAAAATCGTGCTGAAAAGGTGAGTGTATGTTTAAGATAAGATATGATATGATGAAATGTGCATTTTAATGTTAACCGTCTGCCATATATAATACAAGAATATATATTTTCTTTTTTGACTTTGTAGATCTCTACGTTTTTACGTTCAATCGGTTCATTTAGCCACGTGACTATTATTAACAGAATTTTCAACATTTCTGATTAATCCTTTATTTCAAATGGGGGTAAAATAATTTCTTTTAACACTTATTGCTGTTGATTCGGATCAGAACGAAAATTAAGCTTTAAGAAAACTATCCAGCTTGCTTCCGGGAGGGTTATGGTTAAACAAAGTTGCCCATCGTACATGAAATAATGCCACTGCTGAAGCAAAACTGGGCTACACCCATCGCTATAGCTAGAAAGTAACGTTAGCATGTGCTTATAATAATACTAATAATAATAATAATAATAATAATAATAATAATAATAATATGTGACAGACATATGATTCGAACGTGTGTATATGATATTCAGGTTGGACGATAATCCATACGATACCTGTAACTACGCTGTATTAATCATTCCTTAAATAATTGAAATTCCAAAAAATTAGAAAAAAAAATCGTTTCAAATAACAAACTAAAGACCTCGATTATACATTAAGTTTAAAATCAATATTTCTTAACCTATTTATAGGCTATTTAAATGTTCTATTTATAAACAATACTTAAATCAAATGCACTCATACTCCACACCCACCCTAAGAAAAAAATAGAGAAAGATCGAGTGTATAACATCAATTAAGATAATCATCTTAACAAAACTTCCCGCTAAATTCTTTTCATCATGAACCTATTGGAAAGCAATTTTATATCTCTCCACATGAACATAATTCTTCCTAAGTGAAAAATGCATTTAAGACAAAAGCTGACAATGATCTCATAGTGGTTTTATTTCACACACTCGTTTTAATCTTCGAGATTTATATTTGAAAGAATTACTTGTTCAATTTGAGTTATTTGATGTTCAACTATGATATACGTAATATTTAGTGTAAATTAATAAATTGGATTACATATACGTAATATAGTGTAAATTAATAAATTACGCTACTTTTATGTAACATAGTGTAAATTACAAGATACACTTCTGATACGTAATAAGTGTAAATTAAAAATTACACCATTTATACGTAATATTAGTGTTTATTACTAAATTAAAACACTATGTGTCTGTTAGTTGTATTTATTTGTGTTTAAACATTGGAAAATATACAAAGAACTAAGATGGATACCTGTATGGTATTTCACTTGTGATATTATGTGAAGGTATTAACGAAATTAAATATTGTGTTCACAAGTAATATTTAAAATTATAGTACTAGTATACTTTAAAGAGTATTTTCTAAAGATATAAATGTTCACTTTCTCATTGGGAGTTAAATCATAAATCATATATTAACATTTCAATCTCTACAAAAAATATTACATGAACTGTCATAAAGAATTGTGTTTTGAAGTTTTCTATAAACATTATAAAAAATAAAACATGTGACAAATCATTGTGTGATAAAAAATGTTTATATCGAAAATGCATACGTCTTTCCTTTTTACTTTTAACTTAATTGTGCGTTGAGATTTTAGTATCTGCTGAAAAGAAATGAAAGGTATAATATTCTGTTTTATTACTTAAAAAAGGTATGAAATAATATGATAATGTGTCTGAAAATTTAAGACGTAATCAAAATAACATTAAAGTATATGGCTAGGTTTTCTTTAGTTAAACCTCGTTATTATACCTTCATTTACCTTAATATTAACGACTACATAGATCTATAGATGTAAAATATAATGATAGACTATTACAATATATCATTTTAATACTCAGAAATTTACATACAATGTACATTGTACTCATCGTGTGGCGATATATGTACTCTCCTTAAAGTTCCTAAATCAAATACGTTTCAATTAAGTATGTTAATTGACAAAAGTTAATTTCTCTAGGTTTACCCAGTTCACATATTTTTTCTTTGAGTTTTTTATTTTCATTTTTGTTGTTGTTTTTCTTTTCTTTTGTTTGCTCGTCAGCTTGTTTTTTTTTTAAATTAGACAATTATTACAACTCTATGTAATTTCATATTTTTGATCTACTTCAGTACCTAAAGAGCAGTTAAATATGTTAGATATATTTAATTCGTATCAGCATAAATCGTTTCCAATTAAATACATTTTTCCTTTCAATGTTTTTGAATCAAATTTGGATTGCCTCCCATTGATTTTATCTATTTCATAATAAGAATAAGCTTTCTTTGCTTGTTGCTATTATATATTTTTACAAGATGTTTACAGTCATGACGATTTTCTATTTTCAGATGACTTTTGGAAATTAGACAACCGATAGGCAGCGATGGCGGTATCGAATTTGACGTCAAACATGACGTCACCAAGAAATTCCACGAATGATAACATTTTATATAGCGGACCACTTGTTGACAAGGCGAGAGAAGAATTAATGGAGATTTATATTTATCCGCTTGTATTTGTGATTTTCTACATGGTAGTTGGATTTATAGGAAATTCAATTGTGATTTATATTTTCACAAAGAGATGGAAATTAACAAAAACAACTATCTTTATTCTGACGCTAGCTGGTGTCGATCTTCTATCGTGTATTATCAATATGCCGACAGAGGCAGCCATGTTATGGAATCCTATGGATTTTGATTATGACGTCATTTGTAAAGTGTCACGATACACAACATTTACGGCCACCGTTTCCTCATCGTTCGTTTTAATTGCTATTTCAATAGATAGGTATTTAATGATATGCCGACCATTTCTCGGCAGAGAGTTAGGTGTTCAATATGCAAAGCGGACCTGTATAATAGCTGTTCTACTCGGTCTTGTCCTAACTTGGCCGTCACTTATATTTTACGGAACATATACATATCAAGTGGAGAAGAACGATCCTAACACGGGGAAAATTGTGAAAATTGAAAGCAAAACATGCCTCATATCAAATTTCTACGTCGAACATTACAAATTGCCTGCAGGATTTTATTTCTTCTTGTTCGGTGGGCACATTATCATGTTCATTATATTGACGATGGTTTATTTACTAATTGGACGCAGTCTTTTCATGTCAACTAACACGGACGTATCCTATGAAAAGAGGCACAGTCTAAAATATTTCGGTATAAGCATGATGTCAGCGTTCACTGGTACGGTGCCAAATAGCCCGGCTGATAACCGCGATCGTTTAAGTTGGGGAAGTCGAAGTTCGCGTGCGGTGTCGCTTGAAAATATCCACCGTATTGACCAAAGTCCTATTAATAACCTAACTCGGCAGCAAGCACGCAAAAGTAATGAAACTACAGTAAGTATTGTTTTAAATGACATAGAAAAAAATAGAAAGGAACAAATAAACTCGAGCAATGAAAATACAGATAAAAGATCCAAAGATAATTTTTTGAAAGACAATGTTTCAAACTGTAGTGTCATTCGGAGTATCTCGGATAACGAAAGCGATGACAGACTTGATATCACACGTAACAATCTTTGTGTACAACCGGCAACATCAGACGATAGCGCGAGTGACACTTCATTTAACTCACCTGAAAAGAAACCCAACAATAAACTTTTGTATCTTAACATCGGTAGAAGAGATAAAAATAAAACGAACAATGGCCGTTTATCTTCCAGTTCACCAACTAGTGCTAACAGTTTAAACCCAATGACCCCAGTATCACCAATGACCCCTGACAGTGTCAGGGGAATTCTATATCGAAGTCAGAGTATTGAAAGTAGGGCAAGGCTAAATAGGATTATATCGGACGAACTTAGACATGCGGAAGTAAAAGAATTTAGTTTGCGTAGGAATACGTTAATCATGCGGATGGTTACAATAGCGTTTGTAGTGAGTTTCCTCCCTTACCTAGTAATTGTCACGTTACGGTATTCTAACACGGACATACCAACAAAACTAAGTAAAGTGGAACAAATCTTATACCACGTGTTTTTAAGGACTTACTTTGTTAATTCTATGATTAACCCATTCATATATGGATTTATGAATGTGGAATTTCGAGCTAAAATTAAAGCATTGTTTTGTAAATTTTGTACAAAGCATAATATATGCATGTAATATTTTAATTCGAAGTGAACCAAAATACACAAAAAGCTCTAAAACAGTCATGCCTGCTTGTTAGATTTCATTTTCAGACTTCCATCACACAAATATAACTTGTACCTTAATACATATGTTAAAGTGATATTATGAACTTCAAAGGTTTGTACCATGTTTGTACAAGTAGAAGCTTTATTTTTCTTTGCCATTATTCTGTTGTTAATTTTATATTCTTCTTCCCAAACAAAATAATCAATAGTTCACGTGACTAGCGAAAATTCCTTTAGTTAAACCCTTCGTAAAGGTTTACTTTAAAAAGACTAGGTCAATTATTTAATATTTTTTACCTCCTTTTAAAAATGTTCACCACCATTAAATGTATTGCTTCATACATGATAAAGCTCAAAGGTCAAGGTCAGATTTAGAGCAATTTGCTTTGTAATATGTATAATGCCCACATGTTCGTCAAAAGCTTTTATGACGGGCGTATTTTGCGACAATTTTACTTTCATTAATGTTTTATTTAACAAAATTAATTTTGTTTGGTTCATAATGCATTTCTCTTTTTGGTCAAAACATACGATGAAACCGGTGTTCTAAACAATAATATAACTTATTTAAAATAACAATTGTTATTAAATAACAATTTAAAACACATAAATCAAGATAATTATTATGATAATTATTATTATTGTTTATATTAGTTAATAAATTATTGACCATGTTCGTTTACTTACTTGCTTTTCTGTTATCATATGCGTATACATTCGATTTGTTATAATTATATTTTCAAACAATGCTTTATTGGTTTTATTTTGTTCGGCATCAAGTTTATAAAAAATATGCGATGCTATTTGTGTCATTATTAAATGTTAATGCATTCATCCCTATGTATTTGTATTCAACTGTCCTCCAGTTCAACCTCGGACTGTCATAAAAGAACTTCAGCAACTGACAACCGGTTGATCGATTATGGGCCCTATGGCTTAATAATTGGTGCAGTTAATATTCTGAAAGAAAACACTTGGTCTTGAAAGATTTATGACATAACAATGAAAGAATCTAACGAATGATTTCAAATAGTTACCTGTGGAAAAAAATATTATTTTTGATATTTGACAATATCAAATGAATAAATCTTATATTAATCTAAAAACTGCCAAAAATAATAAAAATAATAAAATATGTCGGACATATTCTATCTGGTTTTGATATGATCATGTCTGTTTCGTTTAAGAAATGCGCAAATGTAAATTTACAAAATTGTACCGAGGAGTTATGTCAACAATATCTTTTTCCTTCTGTTCCGGGATTTTGGGGATTTTATATATGACTTTAAAGATTACTTTTTTGACTTTCGTCTCACAGTATCATTATAAAGAAGGGAAATTACTAGTATATATCAACACAATTGACGTAAATCAAACTACAATGTGTATCAAATCGGTGAAGATGTGGCTACATGACTACCTATCAACAGATCTTTAAATAACACGCAACGCATGCGGATGAGCGAAAAACGAATATGAAAATGCATAATGAGTTTAAAGGGACGAACTGTGTATGCATTCTATACACTTTTTATATTGTACAGCTTTTATGTATTATAACAATAAACATTTAACAATGATGCACGATAGCAAAACTACGAGAAAGAAAGATAACCAAACTAAAAGGATGGAATAGTCATTTCAATATCAAGTAGCTATGTTAAAGGAACTAAATCTACTGATATAAACCTAAATATAATTTAAATGTCTTTCTAAATGCTCATTATTCACAATTTAAAATAATTATTCTGGGAAAAAAGAATGAGCGAATGATCAGATATTTAACCCAATAAAGTATTTGTCCCAACCAACATCAAATGGTACATAAATCCTGTTAATCTATTTCCGTTTCCGTCATGTCAAAAAAGTTCATTTGAGTCCCTTTAGTATTAAATTCAATTGTTCAATTAAATAGCATTATGTTTAATATATTAAAGAAAACAACAACAAACAAATATTGAATGATGAAATGCTTCAAATTAAACAAACAACAATTTTTCGATAAAAGACAGATTACGTCTGTCTTCAATCAACTTCATTCTCTTTCTTGTATGTGTAGTGATTGGACGTATTTATGATAATTTAATGTAAGTCATTTTTCCCCGAAAACGTTCACCAATTCTGCAATTATAGCTTTTTAAGTCATAGCACAATACAATAAAAGGTACCATTTTTGTATATATTTTTCTTGTGCTTAAGTCTATACCAAAATGATCAAGGTACACTCATAGAATTGACATTCTTTAAAATTTTGATTTCAAATTAATGAATCTTACTTTAAAGGCACATTTTGCCTCAAAAATCCGTAATTCTTTAGAAATTTTAAACCTGTGTTTAATAATGTTTTTATAATGGATTTAGGCCTTTAAACAGTTTTTTCCCGGTCAAAAATTCAACATAGCTCCGGTTTTCAAATTAAGCACGATTTTCCTGCACTATTAGAGATGATTTTAATTTTTAGCACAGCAAGAGGCAGACGAATTGCGCAAGTAATTTTATACATCCGTTATATCGCACTTAATGTTGCTAAACTAATTGATACGCTCTGTAAGTGTTAGAATATACAATGCTCGTAAAGCAGCACACCTCCAGATTCAGCTTATTTGTATGAAAACTTAAAAAAACAAAGATTTTAAAAGTGAACAAAGACAATAATTTTCACATTGCAAACCACACTTACCACCAATGTTAATAACCAAAAAAGATCAAACTATGCCACAATAGCCCTAACTGAGTTAGTTACGCAGTAGAAATATTGTGATAAATAATGCAAAATCGGTCATAAATCGAAAATAACATGGAAATTATTACTTTTGTCTTGAATCTTTTACCTTTCTTAAAATCTTTGTACTTTTTTTCTCAAATTTGACTTTCTTAAAATATTGTGATTCATTTGGAAGCATGCAGCTTTAAATGAACTACACTGTTCAATGTCCAAAAGCTTTAAAACGTAAACATTAATTAATTAGTACAGAGAAATCCGGGACACTTGAAAAGATGGATATGCATAAGATGATTAAGAAATAAACTCAGAAATATATTGAAAATTGTAATTGTGTGCTTTTCTTATTCTGATTTGAGTGAAAAGCGTTAACAAGTGTTAAGTATTATTATGGGCGGCCTCCAGTTTATAGGATCTTATGTTAAACCTATTTACTTTACGAGAGCGCATAAAACATTCTCTAAAATATATTATAATCATCTGAAAACAATTTTATTATATCGATCTTTGCAAACCTGCTTTCTTTAATTTCGATGCCCCATTATATCTAACATACTTCATGCACTTTTAGTTAACACTGCGTTGCAAACTTATTCCAGCAGGAACGAATCCTGTTTTTAATTAAAAGCATGCAAAATTATCACGAAATAGTCTGGTAACGTAGTTGATTGATAGCACAGCTGATGTTCTTTATGGTCTTCTGCAATCATTGGAAATAGTTTACAACCGTAACTTATAAAAATAAGTAGAAACCTTGAAGTGCGCATTATTTTGTTTTGCGGTAACGTTATTTTCATACGTTAAACATTATTGTAATGCATATTATTATTAAATATATGCACATGCATATTAAGGTAATGCTAGGGTCATTATTTAGAACGCACTATTAGAAATAAGTAAAATATGTCAACTTAAAGGTCATCTAACACGAAAGATTGTTAAAGTTCATAATAAAAAGTAAAATTTAAATTATATGTTATCCGACCTTTTATCAGTAAAAGTTAATCTTTTTCCTGGATTTTAAATAGTGCATTTGGTTGGTTGTTGACTAACTATGAATAGGAGAGGCAGCGGATCACATACCCCCATACTTCTTAGCCTTACAAAAACACAAGATGACATAAAATATGCTCAGGGAAGGGCTTTCTTAAAACAAACGATAATGCATACAATTATTATTGAATATGAAAATATGACTACTAAAGTTTTTAATCTTAAGTTAACCATGTATATATGTTTCGTTATAATGCGTATTGTTGAAGTAACAGCAAATACCCTTCTATAATTTCCCTATTTTATAAGAACACTTGAATCCTTTTTTCCATTTATTTCTGCCTCTCAGATATAACGATATACACCGGCGGTTCCCTGAATTTCGTTATAAGCGGAGTTAACTGAACTTCAGTTACTTATAAGGTAACTAGTTTTTTTTTATAAGTATAGAAGAATTCTGATTAACAAAATACAATGCATGTGTCCATTGCTTGACTGTTTAAATCACTTTATATCTGTTCGCACAAAAATGCATTTTAACTATTTTCCTCAACAAATCATTCTTAAAATTACTACATCATTGGTAAAATAGAAAAACTGGACGCTTAAAGTAATAATCAAGGCAAAATGGAAAAAAGTTGCACGTTTCATTTCAAGGAGCTTGTTTATACACGGTAGTTGTAAATGCAAGCTACCATTCACACCACAGCACCGGTTAAAGCAGATTCAACATTTAAACATGAAAACTTAGCATCAGTAAAATGTTTTGGAATGAATTTTCTCCTTAAGAAAGTTAACGATAAATAGATTATGTATAAAGCAGTAAAAACAAATACAAGTATGTGTTATGTATTCTTATGGCTGGCCTTTCGTTTTTAAGTTCTAATGCTAAACCTATTTGCACATTTTACTATTTAACACAGCGATGCAAACTTATTCCTGCAAGAACGAATCCTGTTTTTAATTAAAAGCATGCAAAACTATCACGAAATAGTCTGGTTAAGAAGTTGATTGATAGGACAGCTGATGTTCTTTATGTTCTTCTCCAATCATTGGAAATAGTTTACACCACAGGCACGAGTATCGGACCTGGGAAGAAAAAATATGACCAGATTGATAAAAAAAACCTGTGTTCATCTTAAAAGTGTCAAAAAAACAAAAAAAATGTAAATAATGACCCCCTTTGAAATATACTATAAGTTAAGAGAAGGCCGGAAACTCCAGATTCGAGCCTACGAGCAAGGGATTCATTTCCCGGGCCGTTGTGAAAACAATTGGCCAGACAATTAAAAAAACTTTTATCACTATTTCACGTTTATATTAAGCTTCAAAATGAGACCAACCCCAAGTCTCTAGCCCTTCCCGTTCATGAAATATCTATCAGGAAACGAGCGAATTCGTGCTAAAAATCCTTGGTAGACAGAATTGCGGCACAGCAATTCGATACGTAAACATAGACTAATACATGTATGTCAGCTGAGTATGGGTCAAAATCACTTGAATTTACTAAACAATATTACTAAATACATTAAGTTGGACCACTCACAACCGTCAGTAGCATCTGATACACGCAAAATATGAATTTCAAACCTTTCCACGGTCTTTAGATTACTTTCTACGCCATTGTCAGTCAGCTGTTCGATATTTTGTAACGAGTCTTCTGATTGGCCAATAGCAACGAAAACCGCAACGTTTCACACAAGATGCCTAATGGCGTAGAAAGCGATTGAAAGACCGTGTAAATGTTTGAAACTCGAGGTCAAACTTTTTCTTTGATTTAAAATAGTGCATTTTGTTGGTTGTTACTAAATATGAAAGAAAGAGGCAGCGGAACACAGACCCCATACTTCTTAGCCATACAAAAAACAAAATGACATACTATATGCTCAGGGAAGGGCTTTCTATAAAAATACGATCAAAAGAAAAAAAAGTTACCTGAATACATACTTACGACTAATGAAAGACAACTTTTTGCGTAGTAATGTTAAGTTATTTATGTTTATGTTACGTTGAATTGGGTATAATTGTTGAAGTAACAGCATCCGATTTAGAACATATTTCTGTGATTTCCCTATTGTATAAAAACACTTCCCTCTTTTTTTCTTTTTTATTGACTGTAG